GTGTGTGTGTGTGTTTTTTTTTCTCTCCTCTGGGTTTTTTCTCTCTGTTAGTATGTACAATGCGATCTAGGCTTAACTATAAATTGTGCAACATTTCGTAATTATGCGAGTTGCGGATATCGATTATCTAGTGACACAATTAACGTGTAACGTGTTCTCCCCTCGACATTTTTCTGTTTCCGTTTCTTTGATTATCAACGATCTGAACGCGTGTTTTAAGCTTACCGCTTCGTTTCTTCTTCTTTTTTTTTTTAATCTCTTATTTGTTTCAAGTTCCTTTGCTTTACCTCGCGCGTGAGATCGTTCCCCGATATTCGCGTAACGTCGTAACCCAGCGAGACTCGAAGGTGATCCGGGAACAAACAATCGAAAAATCGAAGGAAATTTGCCTCTCATCGATAACGACGACCTCGACTTCTCTACTCTCCCCAGTTATCCCCAGTTACTCTCTCCGAATAATATCACACACGGAACAACGTTTCGAAGAATTTCAGAGTTTTCAGAAAACTGGCGCCCGATCGATCGTTTTCGTTTCACGCGTCTCGTTCGATCGTTCCCTTCTTCTATTCTCTTCATTCTCTCTCTTTTTTTTTTCCTTTTTCGTTCGTTTTAAATAACCAGTTTTGCCATCCTCACACGCGTCAACTTTAAAATATTGTCCTCTCACAACGACATAAATTACCGTATAAACTATACAAGAAGGAATAATATATCGTATCGCGGACCCTCTCGCGGACCTCACGCTGCGAAAGTCCACACACTGCGAAGTCCGTGCAACGCAACACCGCGTTTTCTGGCAGTCCGTTATTCTGGCAGTCCATTATTCTGGCAGTCCGTTATTCTGGCAGTCCGTTTTTTCTCGCCCACGTGGTACAACGTTATAAAAAATCTATTTTAGACCTATGGTTAAGTCGCGTATCTTAACTCGCTATACCGTTTATGATATCGTCTCTTTTCACCCTTACGCGTTACGTTATTTATTTTTTTTTCTTTTCTTTATCTGTAATAAATGTACTAATTAGAGTCGCTACCGGCGTCGTGTTCTTAGATCTCGCGTTCTCATCGCGACGAATGTCCTAAGGAGAGTCGACAGACGTGTAAGGAACGAGGAGGAAGGAATAAAAAAAAAAAAAAAAAAAAAAAAAGAACAACTCGCACCACCAGAATTATCACGAAACAACGAAATTCTTGATCCTGATAATAATTCGATGCTTACGTCGAGACAAATGGTAAACAATTTTCACACACGTCAAACGTGCCTCTCTACTTCACGTAGTAACAGAATGCTCCTCGTTCGCGCAACGAATACCTACTAGCGATACTCTTAAAAATCGTACGCTTATCTACACACGAGCCCTATTATGCTTAAGTCGCGTTCGTAGAATTGAACAACTCTTACAAGGTAATTTTTCCCGTCGTTTTTAGAGCGTGATTGCACGATCACTTCTTTTGATTAGACGACTGAACGATGGAAAAAGAAAAAAAAGGAAAAAAAAGAAATTAGCGACTTAAGGGGACGCGACCGCGAGCGAAGGAGACGAAGGGACGTCCCCCTCGAAAAAAGAGAAAAACGAGGCACCAATGAAATAACCCGCGTCCCCTAAGAAACAGAAAGTGAACAGATACCGTGACGTGAGCAACGACGCTCGCTCTTCGTTTTTATCGAGCTCTCTCTGAAACAACAAACGGAAAAACATATCGAGCGTGATCAACGTGTTTGTCATTTCTAAAAGAAGAGCGAAAACGTTACTAAGATTCCGTGCTGATTAACTTTCGGATTGGATGAGATCCGAATCTGATTTGGGCAAATTCGTCCGACGACAAGACGAAGAAGGTTCCACACTCTGAACGTCCCATAGACGAGAACCTTTTATGTACAAACTGCGTTGCCCAGATATGACGACGTAATTCTTCGTAATTCTCGTAAATCGTCACACGTTGTACTGTACAAACCGAAGTCGCGACAAACTCCCGTTGTGAACGTCCTGTCGAACGTCCTTCTGTCTTCATTTATATACAGAGAAAGACTTACTTAGGCTACGTACACGATTTAATGGTAATTAATCGACTACCCAACGGTCGGATCGTGGATCCAAAAAGATTTCGATTTCAGCGCCGGTTTCGACTGTTTCAACAGTCTCGTACGATCCGCTCGATCCGTTCAGAGTCAACGGAGCCGCGTTGCTAAGTAAGCACGCAAGCTGGACACACTCGTTCATCGATCGCATCCGTTCTTCCTGCAGTCTCTCGCGAGACTCTCTCACTCTGGTTTTACGTACGGTCTGCCTCACCAGTCGTTCACAGAGACGAACGATCGTTCTTTCACACACGAGGATTCGCGAAGGAAATCACATCACCGACGATCAACGGGAGGAACCAACGCGAGAGAATGTGGGCCGACGTCGACCCGTCCGGGGAAATTGCTAGAGGGACAGACACAGAAGGAATGAATTTTACGGTAAAAACGTACGTGTGCGCGAAGTCGGGCTCTCTCCGCTCTTCCGTGTCACTGCGTTCATCACACATGGCCAAATCCCATTGCACTTTGTCCATCTCACGGCCTAGATCCGTTTCTTTCGCCCTCTTTCGTCGTCGGGAAATCTCGCGCGAGATCGCGCGTCCCCTTTCGTACATCATCCGTACGATGTCTTCTCGTAGCGCGACTGCTCGAAGAGGAACAGCCGTTCTCTTTCTTTTCGTTCGCATTTTACCTTTCTTTTTTTCTTTCTCTTTTTCTTTTCCTTTCTTTTCTTTTCTTTTCCGGTTTTCAACGATGCCCGGTGATCTCTATGGTACCTGCGTGCCACGTACGGATCTCTCGGTCCACGAGACGAGCTCGACCATCCAAGTCCGGGGCCATCCAAGTCGTGCAGCTCACGAGGATACAGCTCACCTCAGCAGATTCGAGATCACCAGGGTAAAGGTCGCTAGAAGTAGAATGGTCGGCGTGACGCCGCAGCTCCCGCCGTGTTGCATCGCCGCTGGATGTTCACCTGCAACAGAAAGAATCCTCCGTTAAGAGTCTCTCTTCACGTTCGCGGACATTCTTCTTTTCCAACTTTCCTTCGTTCTTCAACTTTTAAAGAATCCGACAGTTTTCGCAGAGAATTCTCCTCTCCCGCATAAGACTTGTATTCTCCCTGTATCGCATTACAAATTTACTCTAATTTGTTAGAGCATTGATAATTCTAGTATTAACACTCTGAACTA